AGCATTCTTGAAAAAAATATCTCCATATATTCCCTTTTCCTCCTTCTTTCCTCTCGCTCTCACCCCCCCCCCCCCCACCCCTCCCAACCCGTAGCTACGCAAATGATTACAAATATTTGCGGAACGAAAATAATAATGTTGATACAAAAATTGATTCTAAGGCGGTAACCAATAAACCCTACGTGTATATAGCTAAGATGGTTGGGCCTATACGCCAAAGGTCATATGATCGAAGAGGGGTACATGGTTTGCTACAATAAAATGGGTAAAGAAAAGGGTTACGTGCAAGGCTGCATGGTTTGAACAATCATTAGCGGTTCTAGAGGGGTTGTGGAGCTCAAGCCCACCCCAAAAAACAAAACGGAAACGAAAACAAAACAAAACAAACGCAAGGCATATGCATAAAATGAATGCGAAAACTCCCAAGCCCCCCCCCCCCCCCCCCCCCCCCCCCCCCCCCCCCCACCAACGAAAAGAAATACTCTTCTAGAACTGCTCCTGTAAACGAAGCCTTAAAAATGTTATTTTTCAGCATGCTATCTGGCTATACACATGAGTAATTGTAATAATACAGGCCTGTCCATTACGAATCAACAATGATGACGAATGCGTTAAATAGCGGCACGAAAGTCTGCTGCAGTTTACTGTTGATGTTAATAATCATAATCGTGGAACCAAAGTCAAATTGAACTTACCTCATAAAGTCCGTCTCTGATGGTTGATGTACATAGTAAGCAAGCAGACAAGACCGCGCTCCCAAATCGAGATTGTGATCTTCAGAGCTCCGGTGAGTCAAAAAATCGTGGTCAATATGCACAGTCATGAGATGAGAACTGGTGACGTACCAAGCCCCCCCCCCCCCTCCCCACCTGCCCCTCCCCCTCCCTCAAACCTGATCTCTGATGAAACATCTTTGGAGGTATTCGGTATATGTGCGATATGATAGCCGAGGCCGCCAGCTCTGACATTTTGAAGTATAGGGGATGCATGTCAAGGAATCTCATTGGCGGTTTCGGCATTTATTTTGACAAGAGGTATCTCTGGATAATAATGCTGAAGTGAGGTCTGAATAAACGCCCTTGTGAATGTCATGAACGGGAGGACATAAATCAAGGAGATTGTACATGGTTTGTATATGGTTTGAATAAGCAAATCAGGGGGGAGAATTTTGACACTAACCTTTCATGAATTCGACAATAATTATTGGTCTTTCTACTCCCAAATGTCGACAACACCTACAACTTTACATCCCATCACTACTAGTAGTAGTAGTAGTAGTAGTAGTAGTAGTAGTAGTAGTATTTGTAGTAGTAGTAGTAGTAGTAGTAGTAGTAGTAGTAGTAGTAGTAGTAGTAGTATAAGGTGTGTGACAACCCATCCAGAAAATTAATGTTTTGTAATGTCCGTTCGTGCTACTTCTTATACTGACAAAGTCTGTTACATGGGCTAGATGGGTTTCAAACGACCCGACATTCGGGTCAGCTTTAATGGCTCTGGGGGCTTATACACGACAGCTATGATCAGGATGATTAATTTTGTTTTATTCAAATTAGACTGAGATCGTGATTTTGAGGGGTCGTGAAATTAGGTGACTGTTATGACAGGCTCATGACCGGCCTTTACCATGTACAAGGCATTCATAGGCCTACCAGTTACAACAGATACCATAATCCATAACATAACCACGATGTGTCATGTAAAGATCAATGCTATATTGTATCCCTAACAAGAAACATTAGACTTGATATCAGGATTCACCTTAAGTTCAAAGGTATATAGCCCTTCTGCTTTAAGGTTATGACAAAATATCCATCATGAAAAAAAGGCAATGTCCAATATTAAATTGTGTCAGTCCCTTGGGCCGTCTTGCGGGTCTTCTGAACTTTCTTTAAAAATTATGTGTATGTATTTTTTGTTTAGTCTAGTGAGCTGTTAGTTTACCGGGATGACCCCTATTAACCCCGAACAATGAATATATATATATATATATACATTTTTTAAAAAAAATACATTTGCAGATCATTTGGCTAATGGCATTTCCACCTACTGCGTCTAAAAACATGCCTCAGAAAACTGTAAATATAAAAAAATAATTACACACTGCTTAACAAGCATTTTTTTCTTCTTCATAGTGCACATTATGCATTTGCTTTTCGTTCTTTAAAAAAAAAATAATCCTTACAAAACGTGAAGTTATGTTTGTAATTGTAATATATCCAAGAACTTCGCTAGGCATTATTGTTTTCTGGTGCATGCCATCCTGAATGATTTGGCAGTGATTCAAGATTTTCCTCAACCCGCCCTAGTCTCCTTTTCAAGGAGACTGACTTTCCGTCTTGACTTGTTATCCGATCCCTGTCCTACAACGGAACTAGATAGATCTCAACAGCTGGTGAGCCAATCGTGATGCCCTGCATTAGGTTATGCACAATTGAAAGGTTAGAATGGCAACTTCAAGTTGGAAGTTATTGAGGCATTGCGCATTTCCCCCTGGCGATCCCTCCCTCCATTAAAAATGAGCTTTACCGTCCTAGTACTCTACAACTTTTGGTAAAAGTTGTTAAAAAAAACACTCGCCTACTGCGATCGAGGGACGAACATCGAGACGGACGATGGAGCGTATTTAAAAGTGTGTGTGTGTGTGGGGGGGGGGGGGGTCACCAACAAAATAAGGGTAACTTCTGGAGAGAAAAAATGTGCACCTCAAAGTGAAATCTCAAAGCAAAAATATACAATTTTTAGACATTGTTATATACCCCTATATTCCATTATGTTGGATCATACTTCACAGTTTGGTGTTATGTTCTGAATATGCATTTGTGAGCTAGTGAAGTGAGCGAGCAAAATGTTAAGATTTGTGTGGTCGCAATGCGAAAAATTACATCTTATAAAGAGGAAAAGTAATACTGATGTGGTTTTAAGCACAGTCTAATCATGAAAGACTGAAAAGACCTTTAATGAAAAACATAATTACATAAAATCGAAGTGAGAGGGAGCGTAGCGAGCGAGCTCAAGTTAGGGTGAAAAATAAAGAAAAAGTTGCTCTTAATCGCTTTAGATTAGGAGCATATTTTATGGTGAAAGGAAAAGGGGCACTTATCCTAAGGGAAAAGGATATTTATTAAAAAGATTAGAGCACTTGTCAAAGTACTTGAAAGGGGAAATTATCAGAGGTGAAGACTGGGCACTTCTCGCACCTGATAAGGGGCACTCATCAGAGGAGAAATAGGCACTTATTACAAAGGAATAGGCACTATTTTTGAATAAGCACTATTTGAAAAGGATAAGGGGCACGTGTAAAAATAAAAGGGTCACCTATCAGAGCTGAAAATGGGCACTTATTACAAATTTAAAGAGGGTACCTCTCAATTTTTGAATAAGGGCACTCATCAGAAATGAAAAGGGGCATACAAAAGAAAAGAGGCACATGTCAAAATATTAGGGGCACCTCTCAGATTTTAAAAGCGGCCATTAATCCAACGTGGAAAAGGCTTCTTGGACCTTTACATGGGTATTAAGCTGAAATGAATAGGGGCACTTCTGAGAATGGAAAGGGGCAATTTTAACAGATTTTAATAGAGGCATTATTGATGAGAAGGTAAAGAGGATCTTATTAAGAATAAAAGAGGCATTTATCAGAGATGAAAAGGGACACTCATCAGAGATGAAAAGGGGCACTTATGCGAAGAGGAATGGGCACTTATTACAAAGGAAAAGGGCACTTGTTAAAGTAAAAGGGGCACCACTTACATTTGAATAGTGGCACTTATCAATTGCACTTATAAGATTGTAAAACGGGCACCTATATAATACAAATAATAAGGGGTACTTATCTGAATTTAAAGGTGCACTTTTCCTATGTAAAAAGGGGCAATTTAGGAGTACATTAAAAAGGTGTGCCCCCTGCCCCCCGGGTCCGCCACTTCTGCATCGACAAACCTCACCCACTCGATACAATATATGAAAAACGATGGAGCGAACCGACAGCGGCGAGGCGTCAGCGGCGAGTAAGCTGAACGACCAAGCAAGGATGGGTCTTGGAGGGGGTCAGAACCCCCTCCCTGAGTAGGAAGCATTTGCAATTTTAGAACTACTTAGGCGAATTTTAAGGCACTTCCTATACGGCGTAAAATTGCTTTCTCCTACCTCCTCCAAGAGTAGCGATCTTTTGCAATTTGAGAACCACATTTGACGCATTAATGTCCACCGGCACTTCCTGGAAAAAACCGAGGTCTTCTGATTGGTTAGAAGTTAGAGAAAAGTGATCTGTCATGTCGTTCAAACCTTTCTTTTCCTTTTTTCCCTTTCCTTTCCCTTTCCTTTCCCTTTCCCTCTCATTTACACCTCCCCCTTTTCTCATTTTCCCCGACAGCAGTGCAATTCTACCGACAGAATCCTGACAATATCCCGACCCTCCCCCCCCCCCCCCTTTGGCGACGCCCCTGTTTGTTATTCCAGTATTCTTTTAAAAGAAATGTCTCGTGCTCTCACACCTCTCTTCTATCGTTGTTTAATTCTCTTTCCCCCTTTTTTCCTCTTTTTTGTTGTTGTCTTTTTGTGCTTTTGGGGGGGGGCGGAGGGGCTATACGCCTGGCAAGAGGGACCCCATATTATGCACACTGCAAAATTGCATGCCTCCTCCCTTTTCCCGGTAAAAAAAAACACTTTCTTATAATATCATCCCCCTTTCTTCCTTTTCCGCCTTTTACTCCTCTTCCCTTTTCTTTATTTTCCCTTTTTCTTTTTCCCCCTTTCCCCTCCCCCCCCCCCCCCCTCCCCCCTTTTTTTTTTTACTTCAAACTGAAGCTATCAGTAAAAAAAATATGCAAATCTCTCGTATGGTTTCAACGAACTCAAACCAAGATTTCGATGTATGGTTTATGGTATTACGCGCATGCACGATACCATAAACCTTACAAGTTTGTATAATGTTATACTGATAGCTTCAGTTTGAGGTGCACAGCTACAGCGTAGAGCTTCTACTATCTAGTGACGGTACTGAGCGACGATGTCGACATCGAAGCCCTAAACGGAGGCTTACCGATATCGGATGTGATCCAAATTCAGGTGAAAATGCGATATATGATTGTGATAAAAATTAGTAAAAAATTGGGCTAAAATTCCTTTGCTAAGAATGGATATGAAATTGCTAATAAAAATTGATACGAAAGTACACTAGATTAGACTAGCCTAGGTCACACATAGGTGCATTACTATCCTGGCTGTGTATTAAAAGCTGTGCTTTTGATTCTCAACATTTCAAACACCACTGTACAAAACTCAACTGATATCATTCAAAATCGTTGCTTTAGTGACAATTGATGACTCCTAAGTAGCAGTAAAATACAATTTTTTCAACTTACTGATGTTAAAAAGAATAATTTAAAAATTGAAATTGTAGGTCTAGTGTCAAATTTGCCGATCAACTCAATCGGTACTGTATGCAGTCTATGCAATAGTGTGTGGTGTGTGTATAAATACCTGCCTCTCAGCAAGTATGCAGTGTTAGAGGTCAATACGCATTAGCATTGACTCTATGCTTTGCTGGAGTGGCTTAAGTCTAGGTGCCATAGACTATTTATTATTGTTTACAAATTGTAAACAATAACAATGTAGATTCTAGTCCCTATCTCATTTATATGTCATTTATTTGTTTTAAAAGTTTATAGGGCCTAGATCTAGATCTAAATCTAGATCTAAATCTAGATCTAGACTAGTCTAGTATTAGTAGGGAGGCCAATGCCCAAATCTAACTTTTTAATAACAAATTTGTTTAAAATAAAACAAAGGTTAAAAGAAAGCATTTTTTTTCACTAAGACAGCTCGCCCATCTGCCGACTCCAGAAGTTCCATAAAATAGGAGATATCCAGCTCTTTTCTATGCTATTCCTTCTACGCCTGGCCGTACTAAGAGCCTTGAAACAATCAATTTCAATTCAATTTCAATTCAGAACTTTATTTCAGACTCAACTACACAAGGCAGAGGTCCATAAAACATATGTTACATAGATATATAGGGAGTATAAACATGATGAGTATAATAACAACAAATCTTACAAAGAGTATAACTAAACTACTAGGCCTACGTACAAACAATCTAAACTCTAAGAGTAACATGTAACCTGCAAGGTTGATAACAGCATAACAAACTAACTCTAAGCTGTACCTGTAACTGTAAAATTAAAATAAGTACGTATTACAATCAATAACAATCTATTAAAGTTGTATCTCGTAACAATCTGTCTCTGTTCAACTAACCAAAACGATAAACTAATAATAAATAACTATTATAAAAAAACAAAGAAACAAGGATACTGGAATCCTTGGTAACAGGAACATAATGATCAATCGCCATGTGTCAGTAGGCTATTCAGCCAAAATCTCCAGAGGCCCGATGTGTATCTAAGACAACTATACGAGGGGTTCACTAACATCTTTAAAATACCATTCTCAGACACATCCACTCTCTGGATGAACTTATACATAAGATTTCGTAATACAGCCGAACAGGCTGGAACATTCCCTACATTCAACTCAGCAAACATTTGACTAGCACTAAAGTATCTAGGTACCCTAAGAAGCATTCTCATGGCATCATTATAGGCAACAGTAAGCCTGTACAAACTGCTCTTGTTAAAAGTACACCACAGATGCGCAGTGTATAGAGGTGTACAGTATGCCCTAAATAAAGCCACCTTCACATCCGGAGAACACATATGAAATTTCCTAACAAGCATATTACCTTGAGCATATAATTTACGACACTGTCGACTAATATCTTTATCATCACTGAAATCCTCAGTAAAGAAATGACCAAGATACATGGCCTCTGTACAGACATTGAGTTTAGCTCCACACAAATAAAAATCCGGGAATACCAATCTACGGTGTTCCTTACATCTAATTATCATAACATGACTCTTTTTTGCATTATATTTGACATCATTATCATATCCATAATGAGAACAAATCTTGAGCAAACTCTGCAACCCAGCAGTTGACGGGCTAATAATAACGAGATCATCTGTATACATTAAATGATTGACTACCATACCACCAACTACACAGCCTTTTTTACAAGCATTCAAATTGTCAGATAGACCATCCATGTACAGGTTAAAGAGAAAGGGAGAAAGAGTACCACCTTGTCTAACACCATTACTGACATGGAATGGTTCAGAGACACTACTTCCCCATCTAGCCATCATTGTTTGATGGGCATACCAAAACACGAGTATCCTAATCAGGTACTTAGGAATACCTCTATCAGCCATTTTCGTAAACAGCCTATCATGATTTATCCGATCAAAAGCTTTAGAAGCATCAAGAAAACAAAGAAACAAGGAAGAATTTTTGCTACGATAACTTGCAATGATTTCCTTCAGAGCAAATATACACATGTCAGTGCCATGTTTGGCTTTAAAACCGAACTGGTTATCTTTAGTAAGAATATACATCTCTAACCTACCAAGCAATATCTTTTCCAGCACTTTGGACAGGACACTTGCCAATGCTATAGGTCTATAGTTGTCCTTACTAGTAATGCGACCAGCTTTATTTTTAATGACTGGCACCAAAACAACGGAAATCATACTATCTGGTAAGATACCATGAATCAAAAAGCCCGAAATGCACATTGCAAGCAACGGCATGAGTTTCGGGCTTGCAAGCTTTAGATGTTCAGCTGTAATAGTATCAAGACCACATGACTTATTGTCATCTAATTTTCTGATAGCTTCTTTAACCTCCTCTGGAGAGATAACCATATTTACATCAAAGTCAACATTGGTAACATCCTGCACCGTACTCTGTACACAATTAAACAAATCCTTGTAATGATTACACCACAATTCACTTATTTTTTCATCACCAGAGATACCTTCAATATTAGTTGGAAGAGGCGCTTTACTATTATTAACACCTTTAATTTCTTTCCAAAACTCATAATAACTTTTACCCTGCAATTTACGAGCAACAGAGTCCGCCCGCATAACATTCTCATTATTCTTTATAAAACGGAGAGCATACTTGAATCGTGCATTGGCCCTCTTCTTTAGTTCAAATAACCGTCCCTGTCTGTTTTTGCCAGCTTCAACCCAAAGTAGGTGAGCCTCTCGGTCCCAAAAATTACGTTGAGAATTAGACAGGACCGAGGGAATAGGCGTGTCATCATGGTCATTGCCCGGACAACAAGTTCAAAACTTCGCGCGAAAGTACATTCATCATCACCGGCTAGCCTTGAATTAGTCGCACACACCAACACAGTACTACAGGCCGGCCAGGTACGGTAATTGCATGCAAGCCGCAATCGAGCCATGCTAGCATGCCATGGCATGGAGGGTCAAAACATAATGAGAGAAAGCTCGAAAGCCACTCATTGTAAATTAAGAAAGTGATTGAAATAAATAAATAGGCCTACCTTAGTTTTGAGATGTATTCCAATTACTATTTCCTCATGAGTAAAGATCAATCTGACACTGCATTATCAACGATCGATAAATCCAACTTGCATGCAGCGAACACAGTTAGTGACCATAAACTAAGCTTACATTCCTAATCGTAAATATCGTAAATAAAGTGGGGGTGATGTGGATGTTTTAGAGGGTGGATATCAAGAGAAACAACAGAGTTGTCCGTATGCATGTGATTAGTCACAATTAACTCTCAAAACCTTGCAACTTTCACATCCATTAAGTTGTAAACATCTGTTTATCCCATATTTTTACAACTTGATGCTTGGGAGGACTTAATTTCTTATGTTTTTCTTTGTTCTATGATTTTCCAGGCTACCAATATCAACTTCTGGCACACAGTGAGCTTTTCATTTAACACGATTTCAGGTGTGTGAAATCGTGCGTCGAAGACAGTGCAAAGATGGCAACACAAGAAACCTGTACTATTAGGACTTGCATCACAAAGCCCCCGAGCATATTCATGCATATAACATTATTATTTTCCTCTCTCATTATATGTTTATTCCTTTTTGGTCTTGGCTCTGCTGGGAATGTGAGCCCAAGAGCTGAACTCTATGTGCCTAACTACAAGTACTATCATAATGTATCCTCCATCGGGACATTCATTACCGACCTGGTCGTCAAACATCCAACCTACTTTCGATTAGATTTAAACTTCAAGTCCCGCTCCAACATTCCTCAGTACGTCTTGCACATGACCAATTTTTCAAGCTCAAGGATATCGTATGGAAGCCACGGTGTGTCAAATGTCAAGCCCCGCCTCCTCCTCTCGTTCGGGGAACATGCTAGAGAGTTCTTCCCAGTTGAAAGTATGATACATCTTCTGAAAAGAATCACAAGAGGGCTGTATGCTCCACTCAATAGCCCGGAGGACCAGTACACCAAACATGTTCTTTCTCAGCTGGATATTTACATCATTGTTATGGCTAATCCAGATGGAAGACATCTCATTGAAAAGACGGGTAACTACTGCTGGAGGGGGACTAGCACTGGGGTGGACTTGGACAGGAACTTTCCTTGGAATTTTGGAGGTCGTGGAAGCTCAGGGGATCCTGGTGATGAGGAGTTTAGAGGGCCATTTCCACATTCAGGTACATACATGAAGCGTAATCCTATTTGATTAATGTTATACCATAGTCACACCTCCAGAGTCCAGACTGACTCCAGACCAACCAGTTCTTTGCCATTTAGGGTTATGTACATGTAATTTTGTGTTTGGTCTGTTTCTGGTCCGGTTTGGGTTTCGTTCATGTGTTTTTCATTGGTAGTATTGAGAATGCATTTTAAAAGCAAGGACAAGGCCGTCTAACATTCAAATCAGTTTGGTGCAGAATAATTGTACAGGCACTGCAAGTAAAAATCCCTTCAAATTGAAATAGTCAAAATTTGTCTGCTGTTGACAATGAGTTTCATTAAAAGATTATTGTATGTTATTAAATCATTTCCTCAATCACGATGTGTTGATTAATTCTGTTATTGTGAATTTGCTATGGTTTCATTTCATCAGGTACATTAGAGCCTTGTTCAGATATAATGTGGCAAAACCGCAATGTTTTTTAATGACATAAAGTGTACTACGGTACACTACACATTGCTGTTTCTTATAGCAGTGAATATGCGCAAGACCTGTTTTGTGCATAGTAGGAATTCATTTTCACATAAAGAAAACCTTGTGGCTTTTTGTAGCGGCTTACCGTGTCATATCTTTAGAGCCTTAAATTCTTGCTGTTGTTGTCGATATAGTTTTTATGGCGCGTGTCATTCAGATTTGAATATTAAGAATTCAATTGTCACAAGTTTGGAACAACTCTTATACACCTTAATGCAGTGAGGCAAAGTGGTCTTGTGGATAAGACTGATCGCTTCACAATGCAATGTACTGATTCCCAGCTTCTCCTTTATACCCCATGTTATTAAATTTTATTCTCCTTTTTCTCTTTTTAAAGGAAAATGCACTCACATTATTATTTTCCGGGGTAAGAATTCATTTGTCTCCCTGTCACCTTTAAAATCGACACTTTTACAACTTCACTGAAGTTGAATGAAAGTAATATTAAATGCACTTGTAGTGATTGTTAATACTTTAGGTTTGATGAATAACATAATGATAATATTTTCCATTCTATCATCTACTCAGAACCTGAAGGCAGAGTCTACTTGGAGCTGTCAAACACACATCACTTTGATGCCTTCATCTCATTCCACTCTGGAATCAAACAAATCTACATTCCATTTGCTGGTATGTTTTTTTGATTGTTGTGAAAATGTAGATGTAGATAGGGTCAGGCTAACCCCATGGGTGCGTCACTCTCCACATGACTAGCTACGCATCCGCGTCCTGAAAAAGTATTGAAAGGGTGTCTTTTTCAGTACACGGCGTTGTCGCCGTTTTTCTCAAAAAGGGGTGTTTTTCAAGCATTGATCGCACAAAAGCAAAACAAGGGCACCTTTTCATTTCAGGTTTACAGGTCTGGCGTCATCAACGTTTTCCTATAAAAGGGTGTGTTTTTCAAGCACTGATCGAACAAAAACCTAAAAAAGGGTACCTTTTCAGGTTTACAGGTTTCAGAAAAGGTGCGATACGCCATTAGGGTCCATTTCAGAGGTTGATGGACACGGGTGGGTAGCACTTTTGTATGAGAGTGACCCCCCTAGGAGGCTAACTTGGCACTAGGCTCAACTTAGCCTTGCACTGCTAGGGACCCTCAAGCAGAAATGCCTGCAAATTTCATGGGTTGTTTGTGTAGAATATATCCCCTTAACATAGATAAAACTGAAAGACACTGTAAAGCACAAGGAAATCTACAATCAAACCTGTCTTAGTCGCCACCTCTTATAAAGGCCACCTTTCAGTAGTGGCCAAGTATTTTGTCTCCCTCAAGAAAAAAACGGTGTTGTAGAACCTGTGTCAAATGGCCACCTGTCTACATTGGCCACTTTTTTTGTTTCCCTTTGGTTAGCTTCAATAGACAGGTTTGATTGTATCATCTTCAGCTTTTATAAATATGAGATTTTATAGTTCCACCATCTTTTATTTGTTGGATAAACCCTCCAACACCTTATTCCTTGTTTTGTCTTCCAATATTGCATTTCTCTCCTTTTGTTTCTTTATCACAGATTCTGCCTCTAGAAAGGCCAAAATAGTCCCAGTGAATAGTATTGTCCAGCTTGCTTTAGCTGAAGCAATGTCTAAGGCAGGAGGCTCTTCATTTAAATATGGAATAGGCTATAACCTCTGTGAATACCCTGCTGATGGCACCATATATGATTATATGGCTGGTGTCAAAAAGGTAAGCTATTATCTGTAATATGCCTAGTGTACAGGAGGGATTAGACCTCCCTTCAAGGTCGGTCACTGGACAGGTGGTTATCTCATCAAATCAGCTCTCAGTTAACATAAGAAAACGAGGATCATGGGGGACCAATGGTCACCGATTAGGCATTGTGTTTTATATAGAGGGCGCAAGTAGCTACATGTAGTGCAGTGGGCCTTTGAAGCTAAACTTTAGAACGGGTCTTCCAATTATATTTGGAAGAAAACTGCAAGGGAACAAAAACAGTCTGTAAGGTCTTTGAATGATCAAAATGAAACAAATTGACTCAATCTTGCTAAAAATAAAATATGCACACACAAAAATATGTACATGTTTATACATACGCATTTATACACATTTTTGTGTGTGCGCATTTGAATATATATATATATACATATGTATATTGTATAGGACCACACACATGTGGCATGAAAGTTTGGTCCAATCTTTTCAGCTACATCTATTCCCTGTTATACTTTTATTATAAAGGCATTTGAAGAGCAATCCTGCTCTGGGGATATTTCTACTTTAATATTCTTCCAAACTGACATCAATAGAATGAGAATGCTCACAAATTATTTGTCATCTTTGCCAGAACTCGGCCTTTTCTTTGAAGACTGAAAACATTCACTGTTATGTACAATTATGCCCATTGAAGAAGTCAGTAATGCTGCTATATTATACATAAAGGCGTTGCTGAGCACTAGGTTGTTAAATGCAGTATGTCAGTTGTCTCATACTTTTTATTGCCAAAATCATTAGAGATGTAATTGATCCATGCTATTGTATTACTTTTTTTTATAATAGTGAAAATCTTTAAATATGAGTGAAGGAAAACAGGGTCTAGATGGAGGTTAAAGCATCAAAGGCAGTGTTTTTAAAAGGCTGCAATACCCTGAATGTTATTTGTTGAGATACGATACAGTAAGATTTCAGACGCAGTGTGTATGGTCATGGAAAACTGGTAAAATACATATCAGGAGTTTTGAGCAAGACTTTGGTGTAATGATATTCTGATTTGTTTCTACTGTAAGTGTTTAAATGTACATTATGCTATTGTGATGTAGTAATACAATATTGCATAATCCCCAGAATCAGAAACTCGCTATTTTTTTTGTAACCCTTGTAATACTTCAGGCTTTGTTTTCTTTTCAGATATTCAGCTTTGTTGTTTCCTTTAAACAATTTAAAAAAATACAAATGTATTATGTATTTTTTACCAGACTAGATGAGTTCAACTGATATGTCTATTCTTCTACAGATACCATATTCCTTGAATGTTGAGATGTGGGGTGAGGGTGATGTAGATAATAAACAGTGCTTTGATCTCTTCAATCCTCCAAATGAAAAATTAGTAGTAAGTATGAACATATCTTCACCCTTATGGGTTCTTCTTATTGATGAAAATTAGTTCTTTCTTCACTTTCAGTAGAAAAATTACCTGTTTCGGTGAGTTTTTATTTGCCATGCCTGATGCTGCAAGCTTCTTCAGACCTGTTTCGTAGCTGACGCTATTTATGATGCATTACATCATGGGGGAAATGGGATGGTAGAGTGAAAAAAAAGAGTGTGTCGGCCTAAGTATCAGTTCAAGGATGTATCGCATTTGTACTGCATGGCAAGTGAAGGCTTTAAGAAAAAGGTAATTCTTCTACGAGTTGTGAAGAGAGAACTAACTTTCAATGACAATCAGATGAACCTCTTGAGTGATTTAAGGGCTTTTCTTATTGTATCAAAGATTTATTTGAAGGACAGCTATGTTGATGAACAGTTTATTTATTTATTTATTAATTTATTGCCAGATTATGGCATGAGACAATGCATCATTTTGGTAATTGTTGATGAAAAGTTGATCAGATACTAGTTTCAAGGTTGAGAGAACAAAATATGTTTTGCATTGGTATATGTTTCTTCATTATAAATTCCCACAAAGATATGCAATGTACTATATTTTCTGGTGCATATTACAGTATGATTTGTGTTGAAATATTTAAAAAGTGCATAAAAGGACAGCTTTAAGATGATTATCTTGCATATTTTGAGTGTCCATAAACTTGAAATTGGGTTAAAAGTTTTCATTATTGATAAAATGTATTTTATGAGTTAAAAGATGTAATATTTCTGTGGCACCTGTTGAATTTGAACACTAGCTATCATACCTAATGTTATGTTATGGCATGCACATTCGTTAATTGAATTTAAACCTTATTATTACCTCTGTTCATTTTCCTAAATATTATTTTTGACATCTTACAGGCCTCACTAGATGACAGTATGCCTCTGTATGATGCACTCTTTACACACTTAGTGCATTGGAAACAAAAGCAAATTCATGAGCAGTACCACCAATTAGGGGTAAGTAAATGAGACCAGTCTCTTAGTTTTATTATTCTTTACTTCTGTTAGCTTCTTATGTTTTATATTTTTATTTATTCATAATATAATGCTCTTCAAGATCTCAGCAGATGGTATATAACAAGAACAAAATTAGGAGTTACATCATGAATACATTCATACATAAATATTACTCAATATATTATATCTATTTTCTGAATGACTTCGACAGCATCCTTGCTAATATGTATACTAATTAAGGAAAGGCATGTCTTAATTATTGAGAAGTTAAATTCTCTCTACTTGTGCAAGTTTTATATTACGAATAGGAATGTAGGATGCATCTGTCTTATTTGCTTCTTTCTTACAGCAGACTGATCTGTACATTCCAAAGAGCTATGTCATTCCCTTCTTACTATGCCTGTGCGTCTTCCTGGCAATCTTCTGTCGTCAAGTACCATGTGCCTTCAACCACCGCTTCTATTCCCGCAAGAGGGTCGTTAGCTTACGTTCCCTCAGCTCCACGTTCACCGTCAGCGGTATCAAGATCACGTGACACAAACTACAGCATGCCCTTTTTGTTAGGTAATTTATTGTGTGTATTAAAAGTAAATCCAGAAGGCGCTCAAAATACGTACGCGCTGGCGGACGGTGCTATAGCTGCCTATTGACGCCAACAGAATACGGCTCTTACGCAGATGGCATGTTCCGATAACTACACTGGGGGAACGTGCCCCTTTAAGTGGATATGCCATGAAGATGCATCAGGTGACAAGTCATGTGATTTGTGAGAGAGATTATCAGCTTGAAACATCATTTACAACAAACTTTACCTTCCCTTCCCTCAAGTTTCAATTTCAATAGCAAAACAATTTTTATATTGTTCATGACCAAAATGTGCAATCCTTCATCTAATGTTCTGTTAACTTTGATGATATTGAATAGTCTGAATTAAGATCTGTCACTCAAATGAATGTCACAATGATAGAAAAACATGAGGTAAGCCTGCCTATTGGTTTTGATTTTGAATCTTTTTGTGTGCATACAATGCACACAAAGTTTGTAACACGATGCAAAAATTATTTAATTACAATTTACGCTGCATTACGCATCAACAAAATTTTGCAGTTTGTTAATGTTATTGGGTTTTATGTTCAGGTAGATATGTTGAGGAAACATTTTTTTTTATTGGATATTGAAAGAGTGATTTAATCTTTCCAATAATTGCAATTTGATATGCATTTGTATCACAGCTGCATCAAAATATTGTGAATTTTGTGCAGGGTTTAGGAATATTTACCAATGCGTGTATATCTTGTATGTTTACCTGTAGCCTGGTGAATCTAGAGTCAAATATATAAATAGTTTTGCAATACAAAGGGTAGCTTATTTATTCAGATGTTACTCATAATGTCAGCAATATTATATAACTCAGTGCCTGACAAGTGAGGGGTTTGTGATGTGTGAATATTGATATAGATCAAGATAAACAAGGGTATACTTCTCTCAAAGAATGCAGCAAAATGAGTCAAAAAGTTCTTTAAAAGTTAAAGGAAATTGTTATCAAGAATAAAGAGAAGGAAAAAACAAATTAAAAATCAATTTAACACAGATGCTGACACACCCTTCGAGTACCTCTATCATTTGCTTTGCAATGACAATTTCATAAATTTCAATTTTAATTATTGTTGATAAAGCTATAGATCTTTCCCAATAATATATCTAGGGCTCGGGTATAATACACAAATATTGAATCTCCAGCGCTCAATATAACAATACATGCAAACAAAAAATACAAAATTTCTTACTAATGATATATGTCACTGAAGCCGCAGGCAAAGGGTGAGGTATAATGGCACCAGGGAAATTCTGAATATGTAGGTGAATATTTGTTATATTGAACAAGAAAATGCATGCAATATTTGTTGTATAAAATTTAGGATATACATGTTCTCATGCATTTACTCCTCTGGAGTCAGTCCCTCTTGATTACATTCAGGTTGCCTTCCATCAGATGTGCGCAGCTAGTATGCAAGACAATGGAAACAATGGGTATGCATAGGGGGATAGGTGCACTGCCTGTGTAATTCACTTTTATATGTGCTATACCATGCAAAATATGTTTTTTACCAAGCACCAAGCACAAATTGTTGATTGTCACATGACACATTTTAGCTGAGAAGATACTTGCAAACAAATACCCTATTTTATATAAATACATGTAGATATTTTCCTCAGAAAAAATAAATTATGAAATGGGAGAGGTGCTCTAAGAATATGTCATAGAGTTGGCAATTTGGACTTGATTGATTACTACTTTAAAATTTCATGAGTTTTTTTATCGTTCATTGGATTTTCCTTATACATTTACTGACCCGCTTTTCTCTTTTTTCTGTTTTTATTATAAAAACAAATTAATGATAACTTGAATTGAATACAACTAATGTCGTTAAAGAAGTGAAGGAATAGGAGTTCTGTATAATGCATTTTATTCCATGAAGTAGTTCTAGGTGATATCCGGCATTGTGATATCCTGTTTTGAGTACCAGGGCATTAAACAAATTGATAAAAATGAAATGCTTGTATCTAAAAACAGAACAAAAGATTTGTGTTTCAGAGACATCACACTCTATACCGTTTTTTCTGGAGCTGAATGTTGGTTCTATGACACAAATCAACTCAAATCAATATCTTGGTTATATTTATGTTACTTTACTAAGAGTTATGTACCACATTTGTATCACTGAGAGTATTCTTTGTGATGATAATTATCTTTGTTTGGGTTAGTGCCAAAAGCTATTTCATTATTTTGAATTTTGAATGTGCATGGTTTTTATACAATTATCTAAAGTGATCTTTTTTCTTCCAACTGTACTTTATGTATAAATGACACATTTACATTCTATGTGATTAGGTAAGGTAAAAGGGATAGTTGAGTTCTGTTTTCAGACTGCAAATATCCTTCAAAGTGCATGGTTATTGCTCTTATTCTTATCTATGACATTTCTAGTGCCCTTTTAAAATTGCTATGAAGGTCATTTTAGACCCCAGAATGTGTGAAATTTAGCCAATACGATCATACCAATTCAGCTCCACTTTTAAAGAATATGGTGACCATTAATTAATTATTTAATTAAAAATAACAATACATGGGCCGGCTGGTTGTGCGTAATATAACCAACACGAAAATGCCAACAAAAATAAGCCAACATCGGCATTGGCTGAAATACGACGTAAAAGGCGCTATTTCGTTTTTGCAACGGCTTTTTCAAATTATCTAATATTTGTGGTGGTACACAAGTATTAGAAATAGTTATATTTATGGATATTCAGCTGTCTCTGAACATATTTTGATCAAACAAAGATGATTTTGTCATTTAGATTATATGTTCTTTCAAATTTGACACTCAGTTTTTCACTATCTCACAAAAAAAATGTGTAGCACCCTCTGCAACAGAACTCAACTATCCCTTTAATTACATTGTATGATCTTAAAATGATATCCTTTTTTAGAGTCTTGTGAAATTAATGAACCTACTTAAAAAGCAATGAATGAGGTGGCCCATAGGCTATTATTATTATTATTATTATATGTAGGCCCACAGTTTTGTGTCAAATAATATGTGTAAGATTTGTTTTGTTTGTTCATGTTTGAACACATATGATGTTAAATGTGGAAGGAATCTATGAGTGGATATACATGTTGCTGTGAAAAGAAGCAGACAAATTAAAGAAACATATGAATGAACATTTCAACAGAGTAGATATAATGCTAAAGGTGACAAATTGACACTTTTGGAATCCAGTGAATTGAAATCTTCATTCAAAGCTATTTTAAAAGAAGGGGGGCTCCAGAATATTTTAAGATGGGTCCAAGTCCCTTTTACCTGTAAAGTCATCAGATTTTTTCAGCACCCAAAAATCTCTGACAAGCAAATATAAAGGTTATCAGGGGAAAAGGCAAAGGGGGGTGTGGGAGGGTTCCAGTATACAAATCTGTAAAAATTTGACATGTCTGTGCATAAGCTGGAAATTTTCAAATAATTTATTCCTTACTAAGTTCTTTCAACACTTATTGCACATTGCTATGCCATTAAACCGTCTATCCTATCCACTATTCATCCTCTCCACATCCATGCTTTGTGATTTTGAAAATGAAGTCATTAACCATATAAAGTAACTTGCCTTTTCTGCGGTTACTTCTTTTGAGCCCCTCCCCCCCCCCCCCCTCCTCCTTTGTTATACCAAAGAGACTCTTAGGTGCAGAATAGTAAATGTAAATATCTTTTAATGTAAGTGGTTGAGTGGAATTGTCGTTTCACCATGTACTAAAAACAAAGATCTTGTTTAACATGTAGTTTTTAAGCTTCTACCAACCTTAAATTTGTTATGCAAGCTTTCGTCCACTCCTGTGGACTTTCTCAAGCTAAGTGATTAGTCTGAGTCACACGTTTGCATAACAAATTTAAGGTTGGTAGAAGCTTAAACACTACATTTTATCATTATCCCCAACTGATGAAAGTTTTATGTATCAAAGATCTCGTTTATTTCTTACTTGATGTAGTAAATGAACAATGAGCCTCTTCATCAATGGCAGTATTAATACTCGGTATTGCAACGATGGCCTGATGTTTATAATGGTTGATATTTAATTTATTATTCTTGAATAGAATAAAATATGATGGACTATTCTTTCTTAGGGTACTTTTTGGGGCAGTCGGGTTGATTTATCATGTCCTTTTTTTAACTTTTTAAAATTTGTTCATAGAATTCATTACTTTAGTTCCTGGTAAGTGTATGGTGCTGTAACGTTCAAACTGTTCATACATGTACATATGAAAATCCACTACTCCCATCTATTACTGGGTACATTGTATTTTGTTGTTACTTTAGATTTAAGAGTCAGTTATGTTTATTTTTCTGATGGGATGAGTTTGTTTGATAAAAGCTTAGTAAGATAACAAATCTTACATAACTTTGTTATCTGCAACAACAAAAATCATTATCATTGTTTGGACAATTGCATGGGAATATGCAGCTTTTTAATGCACATTTGTTTGATATAAAATGTGCAATGAACTCTTGGGACTGTGATGGACATACATGTATTTTGCAATCTTTCATAGAAGTCGTTATACTATATGTTGTACATAAAATATTAAAAAATATATAAACAACTTTATTTCTTACTTCCGTTCTGTCAGAATGTTTGTTTTGATTCCATCACCCTATCATTATTCTTTCATTTCTTCTCTCATTTTCCCATTCCCCTTCCTATCTGCCAATCTCTCTTTCCACTTCTCCCCTCCCTCTTTTTAATTTAATTTTATTGATTTATTGATTCCAAAACAATACAAATCATTCTTAGAAATAGTTTTTTCTCATTTTGAAATGATTGAATAAATTTGCAATAAAAAGTTTGTACACAAAACTACACAAACACATGAGCTCTCCCCCCCCCCCCCCCTCTTTCTCTCTCTCTTCTCCCCCCTTTGGCCTCCCCTCTCTCTATCATTCTCTCTCTCTCTCTCTCTCTCACTCTCTCTCTCTCCCATAATATATCTCTCCCTCTCCACCCCTTGCCTCCCCCTCTATCTATCATTCCCTCTCTCTCTCTCTCTCTCTCTCTCTCTCTCTCTCTCTCTCCCTCTCCCTCTCCACCCCTTTGCTATCTCTTGCGTATCACCAAGAGCCGTCTGCTTTTTTCTCTAAAAGCCCGTGGTCATTAGCAGACCTGGTACTACCCGGTACAGAGAAAGTAAATCAAGTCAATATTTACTAGTAGAAAGATTCGTTAAATGAATGTGTAAACGACACAGGTCTTGATATCGAGCCTTTTTACACTGTACAGTCTAGACAAACATTGCATTTTTTGGGTGACGTCAAGATGCATGTAATCATATATGTAAAGAAAACCTCGTTGATTTGAAACTTGGAGTATGTTCAGGTTCGAACGTTTATTCGATCGAATCTCAATTAAAAGTCACGAAGAAAGTACACCTGCAATATCAAGACATATGAGGGCGAGCACTCTATATATCCCGACTTCACAATGTGCTCTATCTTGCTGAACGTAATTAAAGGTGTATAGTGTATCCCTTTTGCAGCCAATGTCAATTTCTGTTGAACTTTGCAGGAATTATGAATATGTCACGTATGTCCTATCTGTAAAATTTAAACTTTAGCAGTGTCCTAGTATTCACAGTACGCAAGGAATCTCGTTACTTTCCAGACTTCACTGTCAGACACTATTCTTTGGTAATACAATTCATAAAATGAGCTGTAAAGGTATTATGAGCACTGTCTTGTCTACATCAATAACCCACTTCTTGTAAACTGACTCTTTTCGCAGCACCTACAAAACGTACGACCATTCGGTACAAGGGTCTGAAAATCAAACCATTACTAAATGATTGCAATCACTACAGTCGATTCGACAACTAACGGTCGTCATTTTCCCACAAAAAAAAAAACCTTTTCGTTTTTTAGCCTGCAAATGGGACATAGTACCTTTAATACAGAGTAAGGGCATTGATTGCGCAATTCTTGTTTATCCAGCGGTAAGGTTGAAGAAGGCTGTTAATTTTGTTTGATTAAGTTTTCTCATGAAAGATGACGTTATATGAGCTTTCTATCTTTTTGTTGGTAGCGGGATAACTATGGAAAAAAACTGTCGGAGTGCAGGGAAGGGAATGCCATAAAAAGGCCCATATTTTGTAATTCTATGAAAATCATGAATTCTTTTCATTCTTTAGTTAGAAGAGTACGTTTTCCTTTAGACAGCTATATATATTTAAGACATTACAGCAATGACCTGGTGCAAAATGGTGATCAAAATAAGGAAGTAAATACATTATTTGTTTTAACCAATGAACAGAAATTTCCAAGATAAAAGGGCACCTACAAAGGGAAATCTCACAGCGAAAATATACAATTTTTTAGACATTGGTATATACCCCTACATTGTAATTACAATTATCGGGGATGATTTCAATATTTGTTTCACTTTATACACCATACAAGATATTGCTTTTGAATTTCTAAAAAACTGTTTGCGAGCGAGCGAAGCTAGTGAGGAAAAAATTTAAGATGTGTGAGGTCGCAGTGCGATAAATTACATCTTACACAGAGGAAAAACCCAATCCTAATGGGGATATAAGCACATTCTCATAACGAAAGAGTGAAAAGACCTTTGATAAGTAACATATTAAAGTATATCATCTATAGATGCGTGCGAGCGTAGCGAACGAGCTTTGGGGGAAATTGCTCTTATATATAGTCGCTTGAAATTAGCTAGGGCGCGTTTAATGATGAGAGGAAAGGGGGACCTTATCAAAAAAGAAAAGGAGCATGTGCCAAAGTACAAAGAGTAAATATCACAGGTGAAAATGGAGCACTTCTTACAGGGATAAAAAAAGGTGAGTCATAAGAATAGGAAATGGGCATTTGTCGACGGAAAAGAGGCCCCCATCAGATTTTGAACGGGGAATATATGAAAAGGGGATAGGTCCCTTATTGGAAAGGAAAAGGGACACGTATCATTGTTAAAAGGGAATTTATCAGACG